ACTTGATATAAGATCATGCTTCCAACCATTAGAAAATGAACATTATTCTGGATGATATATGGAATACTTACTAAAAGCACATATATTTGTTCACAAGATAGAGCTCAACATATTTTAAAGAGGAGACCATTTCTCTAACCACTGTACAATTAAATTAAGTGTTGGTTAAAAGAGGATGATCTTTGTAATCCCCACAGGTTTGGAAATTTAAAAATAAGTTTTAAAACTTCCATATAAAGTACTAGTTAAAGACTTTATTTTGATGTCATTAAGGTATACTTGCAACTGAACGATAATGAAAATATTGCATATAAAAGCTTCTGGGATGTTGCTGAAGTAGCATTTAAACTTACTGCTTTATATGCTTATATTAGTAAAAGAGAAAGGTAGAGACTAATAAAATAAGCATCCACATTAAGAAGTCTAAAAATAAACACAAGAAAATTTTAAATAAATTAGGAGTAAAGCAAATACCTATTGATAGTAGACTAGATTAAAATGTGTATATTTACAAAGTACTATACTATACAGCAGTAAAAATGAATGAACTCTAATCACACAAAAACACTTATGAATCTGACAACATACCATTAAGAGAAAATCTCAGAATACATCTATAGTTTGCTATATATGAGAGACCAACAAGTGATAAAATTAGAAAAAAGTCAACTTAATTGGTCTGAGATGATGTAAGTAAATTGATTTAGACATGAATTAACCATTAGGAGACTTTTAGGTTGAATCAATCATTTTATTCATTAATTTCATTACTTATAAAACACAACTATATATAACATCATCATAAAGCAAAGCATATTCTTCTTGTGTTTAAGAATTTATGAAAATCGGTTACTTTTGCCTCTAGATTTTAATTTTATAACTCATAGACTTATTAATAGTTTGTCTTAAAAACTAAAATATTCTTTCAAATGGGAATTACATACCTATTAGTACATTCTGGGTGTTTGAAATTCTTGAAAATTTTCAATTTAGGGACATAGAATCAATAGAAAATGGGCTACACTTTTATTATGAGAAATGTTATACTTTAGTTATGTTTCATTATATTCTTTTAAAAGAAGTCTTTAACCTAAGTTATATTAAATGTGAAAATCAAGAAAGGCTATAAGCCTTTACATCCTTGTTTAATTTTTAAGCACCTTGTGCTTATTTGAATTTTCAGATAATTGTCCAAAATAGCTTAATTCTAATATCTAAAATATTCACCAAACCTTAATATTGATGCAAATTACTCAGTATATCACATTTATATAAAAAGAGAAAAATGCAAAACCAAAAAATGAATGAGTGTTTTAAAGGTTAGAAAGCTTTATAAAGCAAATCACAAATGTAAACTATAAAGGAAGTTGTCTAAAACATGGAAATCTTGGCCAGTCTCTGCTGTTCTTGTTTGAAGTGACCTTCAAAGTAATTAACTTCTATAAAAGATTAAATTTTACTAGTATGTCCTTAAAAAATTAAGTTCATTATCTTTGATATTAAAATTAGATCTCAGAGGCTTTATGATGATCCCCGAACCATCTATGCGATAATGTTGGTGCATTGTTAATGGGAAAATGCTCACGTTCAGAGAAAAATGTTATAGGAAAAGATGCCAAAGTTAAATTTCCACATAGAATCATCTCAAGAAATGTTTGTACTGCATCACTTCTTTTAAAATGCTCATTCGAAGGGGAAAGCCAACCTAGCTTTACTTAAAGGTTGACTACCAGACAATAAAAGCAAAAGAACTACGGGCTTCTATATAATCTTTTTCTCTGATATCCCCACACCCATTGTAATAAATACACTGTCAATGTCTCAGCTATGTCAAGAGCCTTGCAGCTCTTCTAGGTTCTAGTCATCCCTTGGCACTATTTGCCTTTTAATAATGTATGTTTTCATTCCTCTGTTTTATTTCATGTTTTGCCCTTGGGCAACTTCCTGGGGATTGTTTTCAGATGTATAGTTATTTATATTTTTCAGAAAAAAGTTTCAAAGGAGTTAAAATAATATCAAATGGTAAGACCATTTAAAATTCAGAAATGTGTTTATTTTGCCTTTAATTTTTAAGGTAATAGATTTTAATTATAACACATTCTAACATTCCTAAATGTCTTCCTCTGAATTCTATGGAAAGCAAATTATTTATTATATATTTACCATATCTATAAAAATATACAGAATGAAAATCAAATGGATATTTAGAATCAGAAAGCTACATCCTTAAAAAATAAACCCACAAAAGCAAGCATCAATTTATACCATAATTGCCTATGAATCCTGAAAAATTTGATTTTGCAATGTTATTTTCACTGATGCCATAGAGAGATATTTGTGTATTGCTGATTCTTATCAGCATCTTCTTTATCCCTACAATAAAACACCAGATATTTGAGAATCCAGTCCACTGGGATGGTTTCAAGCATCTCAAACAGTGAACCAGAATTCATGTAGAAATACATCCCTTCTATTTTATACCAACCTTTTCTGCATATTAACACTCTTCCTTTGGGAGCAAAACATTTGGGAATGAAGGGTAGTCTCTGTGCATCCAGTACCAAAGCAGATAAACCAGCCTGTCAGGGATAGACTACTTGGTCCCATCCAGAGGACGAGATACAGGCACCAGTGTGGAGTTAGAGAATGTGCGTGGGAGGGAGCATGGACTCAAGGCAAAAGCTATTCGTGATCCTCCCTTATGAAAGACATAAATGACTGAAAGATAAACAAGAAGTCTGACCAAATATAAAAATACATGTACAATATGTTGAAAAAGGGCTTGGAAAGAGAACAATGAATCTTCAGTTTAAATTATCTTCATTATGTTTTATTAGATAAATACATAAAGAAGTTTTTGATGATTGCCTCCAAAAAGGCATGATAAAAAACATGTTCTATAGAGAATATAATCTTCATATGCATAGCAACCAATTTATCAAAATGTATCATCTCATGATGTGCTTGAACATGTATCTCATATGATCCATAAGAAAGAGTAGACATTTTTTCATCACACCTGTCTCTTTTCAGTTAGTACACTTATTTCTTGTTTACTTCTTACTTGCCCTTATTTCTTCCGGACATTTCCCTATATTTTACTTCCTTATATGAAGTTAACCACAGTTTTCTGTGGAAGTAAAGCCAAAATCTTTTGGCCTGCAAGATCTCTACCTCATAGTTTCACCCTACATGTCTACCTCCACTGCTTCTGACACTAACCCTTCACTCCAGCCAACTTGTCTTTTGATTGCCTCTATATACCAAGCTTTCCAGGTTGCTGTCTTTGAAATAATAGGATATACATATTGGTTTCTGTCTCTGGTTTCTGGCATAGAGTTTTTAAATCCCTTAGGATCTTCGGGGTGATAGAAGGATTTTGCTCATATGAGGCAAATGCTTGGTGGGCTCCTGGATGGGGGCTGGTCACCAAAAAGACCAAGCAATTATTAGAAGCTTGAAGCTTTCAGCCCCACTCGCCATCTTGCAGAAAGGAGAAGAGGGCTGGAGATGGAGTTAATGATCAATCATGCCTATGGAATAAAGCCTCCATAAAAAAAAAAACCTCACAAGTATGGGGTTCAAGTATAGGGTTCAAGTAAACACATCTACATACAAGGAAAGTGGCTTAGCCCAACTCACAGGGGCAGAAGTTCCTATGCTTGGGACCCTTTCAGACCTTGCCCTATGTATCTCTTCATCTGGCCATTCATCTGTATCCTTTATCATATCCTTTATTGTATAATAAACTAGTAAATGTAACTTTTTCTCTGAGTTCTGTTAGATCTTCTAGCAAATAATTGAATTCAAAGGAGGAAGACATGAGAACCTCTGATTTGTAGTCATGTTGGATGGAAACTATGAATAACCTGGGGACCTACTACTTAACAATTGGCAACTGAAGTGGGGAGGAGTCTCTCAGGACTGAGCCTTTAACTTATGGGGACTGTGTTAACTCCAGTTAGCGTCAGAAGTGACTGAAATTGTATGACACATTGCTGGCCTCACAGAGAATTTCTTGGTGTGGAAAAAAACCCATACATCTCATGTAGAAAGTGCTGGGGGCATGAGTGTGGTACTGCTATAAGAGTGCAGAAGAGACACAGGTCAAGTGAGTTTTTCCTTTACATTTACTTTGATCTTTTTCCAGTTATTCAAACCTAACCATTGTTCAGAGTATAAATTTTGTAATCACTTCCTTCATGAAGTGTGCCCTGACTATACCTAAGGGAAGAATGTGGAGTGAGATGCTTTCAGAGGGCTTTCCTGAGTATCCATCAGAAGCTTTGCCCTTGCATCAATAAGACAATTCTGTACCCTTGCAATTATTTCTGTTGTTTTATATCCCTGAAGCAAGTCCATGTGGAGTTCTATTATTTGCTTTCAAAGGTTTCAAATGAGATATGTGGCAAGTACTACATTTAATGATTGTCTTACACTGTCCTCAATACTCACTATGTAGTGTGTACTTACAGTAGAACTGCTCAAGAAATATTAAGATCTATTCTGTCCAATGTAGTTGCCACTAACCACATGAGACTTTGGGGGTACTGAGATGTGGCTAGTACAAGTTGAAATGTGCTAAGAGTAAAACACACACACACAAGATTTCAAAAAATAGTGTAAACTATCAATATATTTCTATATTGACACATAATGAAATAATATTTATATAGATAAATATTTAAATGAACATTAAAATTATTTTAACATGTCTCTTTTTATCCTTTTAATGTATTTAGCAGAAAATTTTAAATTACATGTGTTGTTAACATGATATTGCCCTAGACAGCATTGATTTAAAAAGACTTTTTTTTTAATGTTTTTTTTATTTCTTTCTAGGGGAGAGAGAGAGAGAGAGAGAGAGAGAGAGAGAGAGACAGCATGAGCAGGGCAGGGTCAGAGAGAGAGGGAATTACAGACTCTGAAACAGGCTCCAGGCTCTGAGCTGGCAGTCAGCACAGAGCCCGACGCGGGGCTTGACCCCACGAACCGCGAGATCATGACCTAAGCGAAAGTCGGACGCTTAACCGACTAAGCCACCCAGGCGCCCCAAGAAATTTTTTTTTTTAAACCCGGAAAATGGGAGGGAAAATTCCTATTTCTCAGAAGTTTTAAAATTTATAGGAAAATTTAAAGTTGTATCTTATAAATTTAGAATGCCTATGAGTACCTAGAAATTGACACTGAGGACTTTGTCTGTTTATGACATATAAGCTTAGGTCCATTCTTAGCTACGTTATTCTTCTCAGATATACTATTATATTTAAGTTAACGACCATTAGAAAAATCAGTAAATAAAACATTATTGCTCAACCATATGTACTCTACAGCAAATCTTTAGTGATTGAAGGTTTAAGGCAGAAACAGGATTATTTTATTTCATTCTGCTTCAATCACTGAAAAAAATTCATGTATTTGAATGCAAGTCACTTTAATCTTCAGGCTTGAGAACATGATCATTATTTCTGTTACAAGTTATCATTTCAAATAACATAGTTTTTTAAGTTTCAACATAACTAAGTTTAAAAGTTAAATTTCTGTCAGAGGGTCTAGTATGAAATGACTCAGTCTCTGAACACATTAAAAATATAAATATTTTATGAGTTTCAGCTGGAAATTTATACTGTGTGCCAAAGAGAATTTATCATCAATACAGGCAGTACTTACTTGATACTTTTGCAGGTTTTTCTGCTAAAAAAAAGGAAGAAAACAAGTTTTGTTTAACTCAGATAAAATGCAAAGAAATTATACATTCATGGACTACATGAAAGTATCTACATCTTTTGACTTTCTTATTGTTGAAGAGTTATTGAAAGAATATAACTATTGCCTGACAACATGAGTCTTTAAATGTATTAAATGATTTTCTGTGAAATATTAAAAAAGATATTATTATGGATGTTACAACATATTTACATTTTTAAACAATAAAATCAGCAGGATCTTTGTTAAATTAAATGTTTTGGTTCAACTCTAATTATAACTAAGCTGAGTAAAATTGCTTTGTATGATGTAATTGATCTAAATATTTATTTAGCGTTTCCAAATTCCATAAAACATATCATTGAGAATTATTTTCCTTTCAAAGATAATAATGATGAATAATGAAACCTTAAAAAGCAACATGCAAAATCAGTTTAATTTTTCATAATCATTTGTCTATTAGTTTCAATGAGAGACTATAATTCTCAAAGTAGTATCTTCTTACATTAAAGTATATGTATGTAGGGCAAAAATATAAAGTGAAATGATTATCTCAAATATTATAACAGACATTCTAACTTCTTGGAAAAAAACAAAACAAAACCCAAAGATTGGTAACATCTACATTCTACCAACATTAGTCCAATTTTTTTTTTTTTTAGTATAGTGGAGACATATTCTTACATAAGTTTCAGGTTTATAACTTGGTTTGTCAAGTTTATACATTATGTTGTGTTCATCACAAGTGTAGCTACCATCCCAACATTAGTCTAATTTAAAGGGCTTGAAAATATAAATTTTTAAAGGAATCTGAATTACATGATTTACTTTGAGACTTGCAGAGTTTGTAATATAAACCTAAGGATTATTAATGACAATAGAAAGATTTTTAGAAAATATTTTTTTCATTTGAGATACTTATGGTTTTAGTGATATTACAGCCACATACTTCATGTATAAAAACAAAATAATTTAGAAAAATACTTCAGTAAGGCTCATGTGTTATTATTTTTCCTTTAAAAATACTATTAATGGCTGACAGGAACTTAAAAAGGAGTACAATAAACATTTATTGAAGTACAATGATCTGTCTGTTGGATGAAGGAAGAAATAAGAATGTGCCTCTCAACTAGCTCCAGGTTAGTCTTGTGCTTTCATTTATCATAATTTGTCCCTACTGTGTATTCACAATATAAAGACCTTGGAAATGATGGACTCACACAGTGGGGTAAGAAGGGAGTTTCTGTCCAATGTCTGATTCCTTTGTACAACCCTCTAGTTGTGGTTTAATCAGACCAGTCCCTTGGTAACATTTTTTTCCTTTAGGGGTACATTTTTTGTTTGGGCTGCTATGATTGGTAGAAAGCTTCTCCTGTATGTGCCGCAGTGTATAGGGTAGGGGAGTGTGATCAAATGGGTTTAACTACTAAGTCTTTGGTGTCATATTTACTTGGAGTCAAATCCTGCCTCTACCATATAAACACTCGGAGATGTTAGACTTCCCTTCATCGCACTCACCTTATCTTTAGATTGGGCGTCATTGGGTCTGTACTAAGGATTAAATGAACTAATAGGATTAGTTAGGAAAGGATGTACCAGTGAGTTTTTTAAGTAACATATCTTCTCATTCTTCTGGCTAATTATCCTAAAAGATGCTAGGCAATATTTTAAAAGTTAAGAAAGTTAAATAGGGTGTCTGGGTGGCTCAGTTGGTTGAGCACCTGACTTTGGCTCAGGTGGTGATCTCACGGTCAGTGGGTTTGAGCCCTGCGTTGGGCTCTGTGCTGACAGCTAGCTCAGAGCCTGGAGCCTGCTGCAGATTCTGTGTCTTACTCTCTCTCTAACCCTCCCCTGCACACAGTCTCTCTCTCTCTCAGAAATTAAAAAAAAAAAAAATTTAAACAAAGGTTGAAAAATAAAATTTATGCCCCTTTATGCTTCTACAGATTTGGTTTGTTCTTAATCTAAATTTTACCATCTAGTATGACTGATAATTACATGTCTAAATTACGCTGATGAATTATATGTGTCACTATGTCCTGTCATTTTGGGCCTATATAATACAGTAAGCAGAAGAAGGAACCAGTGAAAAATAGACTCATTCTCTCTCCCCACACACTGAAGATCTATAAATCTACTATGAATGAAAATAACTGTTCAATTATGGCATGTTTACTTAGCACCTTAAAATTTAAAATACATGGGGGCACCTGGGTGGCTCAGCCCGTTAAGCGTCTGATTTCCGCTCAGGTCATGATCTCGTGGTTCATGGGTTCGAGTTCCACGTCAGGCTCTGTGCTGACAGCTAACTCAGGGCCTGGAGCTTGTTTCAGATTCTGTATCTTCCTCTCTCTCTGACCCTCCCATGTTCATGCTGTCTCTCTTTCTCTCTCTCTCTCTCAGAAATAAATAAAACATAAGAAAAAATTTAAAACACTTGAATACCATTACCTTTTGAAATAATTAGATTTTTAAAAATTATATCACTCAGATTACATGATTCAGTTACAACATCTATTTATAGCTTTTTGATAATCAAATCACCAAAAAACGTCGTTCTTATTTTAGGTAAAAGACATCTCCCTGCCATGCTCATGCTGGCATTTTCCCTCTACCATCCATTTTTTGAATTAAAGGCCAATTTTAGACAATAAAAGTATTTATTATTTTGGCTGTATATTTGTAAATATAGCTCTATCTGTTTTACCAGTGTATCATTTTTGACCTTATGCATTTTATGAAAGCCTTTTGTAGTAGAGAAATTTATCTTCTGGTATGTGCTGGAATATTCTATAAAATGTTTGTGTTGTTAGTAGTAGTTTTGATTTCTTCACATTGGCTAGTTTTCCACTAAAATGTAAACTTCCTGCTAGATTTCCTACCTCTCCACTTCTGCTGCTAGCAGAAGTATATAGCTGGTAGACTATTTGCTTTAAAAAATTTAGTGTTAAGTGCAAATATAATATAGCCACCTACATACCAACTTAGCAACTGAGTATTTACAAAGCAGATTCAAGATTACCTTTTGTCACATTGTGTGATTGAAGACTTTCTTTTCTTGTTGAGACTGTTGATAAGAAAAATGTAAATTAAACTATGAATTTTTAAAGAGAATTTTCATAAGAATTTTGGCTCACTTCACTAAACTTTGGGAAAATAGGAATAATCTGAACACTGTAAATATTTTCTCAGGGTGATTTAAAAATTTTTTACCTTCTTCTAACATCTAACAAAAGTAAATGTCATCAGTAGAGATTGTTTTGTTTGCATAAACAGGGATGTAACACAATTGCACTGATTACAGTATTTAAACTAACTAGAATCTACAAACAATTGATCATTCTACGTAATTGAATTGGGGATAAACAAAACATCTGTCTTCTTTTATAATTAACAATCTTTTTGATATGTCTAAGAATGCTTTCCTCTTGATTCAATAGAATATTTCTCTGATAATTAAGGTCTTTGTAGGTTTTTTTCAGATACCTTCATTGAAAATCAGTAATTATCATATTATATTTTGTAGTTTACCAAATAAATACATCCAATGTTAAGAAAAATAGCAACTTTATGATGCAGTTTCTAGACTTGCTGCTCACCGATGGTGCAACACATACTTCTTGGGACTGGCCTGCCATCCATCGCTCCTTTGCCATGGCCATTACCACATATCCACTGATTGTTTTCCACATTTCTTTTTTAAATCACCTTAGCTCTCATCATGTACACAAAAAGTTTTCTTTTAAAGTGATATAATCAAACCTCAACTCAAATATATTTGCTTCAGGTCTTTGCATTTCACGTTTCAATCTTTAAAAAAAATTACCTTTTTCTTCTTTAAGATGTTTCATTTCTGCTTTTTCTGTAGAGAAAAGTAATGGTAGCTTTGAGTCATATATCACATTTATTCATAGGTCTTCCTAAGGTTTGGAATTAAATTTTTTGTAGTTTATATTCACATTTCAGGCATTATATGAAAAAAATTCTATGATGTTAACTTAGAAATAACAGAACCTAAATTTCTATTATCTTTGGATATCTAATAAGTGATATCTACACCTTTTGCATGGAAAATCCTATGGTGAATTGCAAATCTGATACAATCTTTAAAATCACTGCCCACATTTTCATGAATTGCTTTTAAGTGATATAATTTGTATAATTCCGTATTTTTTATTGTGCTTTTATTGTTAATTTGATGCTTATGTCTTTAAATATCATCTTTACCTTTACTCTCTTTTTCAGGTTTTTCAATTTTCTTCTTCCCTAGGAGGGAAAATAAAATAACAAGAAATTATCAGTTTCAAAGACATGATTTCTTACTCAATCTTGAAGTAAACAGTTGGAGACAGGACTTAATCCCATAAGTGTAGGGACTTAGGGCTCTGCTTTTTCAAGATGTAAAGGAAGAGTGTACCTCCCATGTGTGAGAACAAATGTATTTTCATTATGCTTATTCGGCTTATATTCAGTCACCTGTATGGCAGAGCCTTCTCCGTTTTTCTTTTTATACTTTTTTAATGTACTTCGAAGTACAGTTAGAGGAAAGTATTCTTTTATTAAATGTAAACGAGTAACAACAGGAAAAACATCTGAATTTCAATTGTTTTCTTAAGGAAATGAGCATTTGACTGGTGCTATGGATGCTCAATAAATAAAACAATGGAATAAAAACAATGAGAGTCACAAACTATCTCCAAACTAAAAGTGAACACAGGTGTTTCAAAAACAGTTTCAGTTGATTGATGATTTTCTTCAACTATATTTATCAGACAAGAGTGAGAAGAAAGTCAATACGTAATGAGTGACAAGCAAGTATGTAGTGGGAATGTTGCATATGTTTCTTATTTAATACTTATAACAAGCCTTTTGGGAAGTCGTTTGCCTGTTCTACAGATGAGGAAACCAGGAAGCTGAGCTGGTTAAACGATTTTCCCAAACGTTACACAGCTATATAGATAAATTTACATACAGATCTGTTTCCATAGATCTATGTTACCTCCTTTGGAAAAGTAAATATTTACCTGATTCTGTGACTTCTGATGTTTCCTCTTTAGATTAAAAAAAAAAAAGATATATAGAAAAAGAAAAGGAAAGAATAAATTTGTATTTCAGTAGTATACAATTGTACTTTATCTCCAGGTATTTCCTATTCAATTCCACTGGTAATGACAATAAACGTGTATACTCAAAATGACAAAGAAACTAATATCTCTGAAAACTGTAATTAGAAATCTATTTTGAACTTAGAACTGCTCTACAGATGAATCTAAAACAGTCTAATCCTATACAGTAGAATAATCAATTTTAAGTGCTTTGCTTGGTTTTCTTAATTACAAGTTATAAACCTCTGCTTCACACACTTTTAACTTGATCTTCATACATACGTATGTTCATGCATTGATTCACTGAATATTTATAAAGCAACTACACGTATAAGATGTTATACTAAATGCAATGGGTGGGGTCATGGGATGATACTGAAAAATATCTTAGAAATAAATTCAGATCATGGTGACTATTGTCACAGTAGTGAGACAAGAAATAAAATGCTACTTGTCTTTAGCCTATGAAAATAGAGAACCAGCCTTTCTTTTGTTCTTTCAGTTAATTCATAGACCAATAATATTTTAAAATATAACATGGCAGGTTTTCAAAAATGTATTTTTCCTCAAATTCAGTGAAAATGATAACATTTTCTATAAACCTGATAGATTTAATTATCAGTCTTCCATAACTTTTCTGGAAGCTATATTCAAAATTCAAGAAAAATTAACATATTTTATAATAATGATGATGAAAGATGAATGATGAGTCATAAACAAAACAGTATTTACAAATGATTATGGTGATATTTTAGATTAGCATTCTACTTTTGACTTCCAATCCTTAAATTTTGCAATACTCTATATCCATAGCAATAATAAAAACTAGGTGTGCTAAAGATTTTCTCCAACTCAAAGGCAACATTTAAGGTTTTAACATAAAATTCATTTAGAAGGAAATTGTAGCTGCATTTGTAAGGAATCTGTCATGACACTCTTAAGGAATCAGTCTATTCCTTGGCATTTCAAAACGTTAGATATAGCTGCTAGACTGAAATGCACAGATTTTTACTGCAGGTTAAAGTCTGTGTCATAATGTAACAGTAATAAATAATAATTAATTTTTATGAAATTGCATAAAACTTTATTAATTTTCAACACTGTATTAACTGTTATATTCATATTATTGCTTGGAATGTCAAAATAAAACAGTGATTGTGAAAAAAAACAATTCACCTGCAGGCTTTGAAAAAGTAAGATAATAAAAGGCTCATGTGCTTAAAATTAAATAATTGGAGACAGGTATTACATGTTCTAAATTTTTCTTAACCCAACAGTGACTATTAGAGGGATCTCCATACTGTGTTTACTCAGTACATCCTAATGAACAAAAGGAAGTACATTAAGGAAAGTTGCAATGGCTATTTTCTAAACAGGCATTAGTTAGCATGATAAATGTATTAATTAAACAGGCATGACAACAGAAACACGTTTTAGGCACTCTCTCACATGTCCTGGTACAATGTGCTAATAGGTGCTCAATAAAGAAATGCTCAAGGACTAATCCACATTATTCTTTGCCAATCAGAATCATTTACATAGGTGATGGCATAATGGCTCTCACATTAATAGACATATTGCCCTTTCTCTGTGGCATATAAACTTCAAAGAGATTATAGAATTAAAATAATTAAATATCAAATTTTTAATTTTAAAAATCTACACTTACTTGAAGTTGATTTGGGTTTGTCTAAAAAGTAAAAAAGAAAAGAAAACCAGTAATTACTTTCCACACCTAGGTAAAATATCAGCCCTTTATATTCTTATATCTGTCTGTTTGAGTTATAATAGGAAAGGCTAAACTTGTATTAAAATAAGCAATATAAAATGTTTTCTGAGTAATTTTAAAGTCATAATCCTGATGAATTCCCTATAGAAGATATTGTACAGCTTTCAAATATAGAATCCTCTTGGTCTCTCTTTATTCCTATAAACCTCATGTTTGATTTGATGCAATATGAATGCTCACAATAATTTGAATGCCATACTATTTCTGAATAGCATAAAATGATTATTCTACCATCATCTTTGCAGAATACATGATAATATTAATTAATAGTAACTATTTAAGTCCCCTGATGCAGTATTTTAAATGAAGAAACGGATTTTATAAAATCTCAGGGGGAATAGATGAGTGATAGATGAAAAGCACAAAACTATACCATCCAAATACATGATCTCTTTCTCCAAAATTCGTTGTCTTCTGAGATTATTAGCTAAAAACATGAATTATGCAGTCATACACCTAAATATCCATTTATTTAAAAAACTGGTGACAACATGTGGACATGATTGTGAACAATTAAAATCATTCAAATTTGGGCCAACTAACTCCAATTCATTAACCGCAGGAATATAAATTGATACAATTTATATCAGAGAACAATTAGAATTATCTATAAAAGTTACATTGCATATGCCTTTTCACTAAAATACTGTAAGAAATTTTACTCCAAAGATAAATTCACAAAACTATGCTGGCAGATATATTTATTATTGTATATCATTCTAGAAATCTTGTTAGACAACTTAAACATGCCAATCAGAGATTAGTTAAGTAAACTGTACAACTATCCAATAGAATACTATTAATTAACTATTAATTCTCCATGTGTTGAGATTAAACAATTTTCAAAATAAATTCTTAAATTAAAAAATCTAGGGACAGGGTAACATAGAGTATTTCATAATTTGTGTAAAAAAATAAAAGTGGGGGTTATTTTATATATGTATGTGTGTATATTTATGTTATGTATATATGTTGCTAGAAGGAGACAATAAGAACTAACAGTAAATTACCTATTGGATATTTTGGGAAGGGGAACTGGTAGAATAGGGAAAAAGAGAGAAGAGATATTTTCACAATTACCTTCCTATAGTGTATGCCTTTGTGTTTGAACCATCCCAATTATTTTAGTTTTAAAAATTGTGTTAAAAATACAAAAATAGTATTTTTTAAAGAATTAAGTGAACACTTATATATTTTATATTTAAGATAATATTTCAAGCTGAAATTCATTAGTTTTCAGTAAAATGTAATTTGGCAAGATATTTTACAATACTATTGACAGTGAACTGAGTTAATCAGTATGACAGGTGATGCTGATATTGACAACAGTGAAAGGGGCTTGTGAATCATGAAAGCAAATACTATTTTGTTAGTGCTGCTGTATTATAACCATACGAGATCCTTAACTAGAACACGATGAGGGCTATTAGAGGGGAGGTGGACAGGGGGTGGACTAAATGAGTGATGAGTATTAAGGAGGGCACTTGTTGGGATGAGCATTGGATGTTATATGTAAGTGATGAATCACCAAGTCTACTCCTGAAACCAATATTACACTATGTGCTACATAACGAGAATTTAAATAAAAATGCGAAAACAAAAAATGCCACTGTATTATAATAGTATGTTTGGCAATCATATGCATACTGGTTATAATACTTAACAAAATGTATGATTGCCAGCAATAACACAACCTGTCAGATAAACTAGATTTTACTATAAAACCACAAGACTAAAAAATACCAGGATATAAAATGAAAAATACGTATAGGCTTTGTCCTAATTTTTAAATATAATAAAAATAGTGAATTAAGACAAAATGTAAAAACACCTGTTTTTATAGATGGAGATTCTTTTTCTTGATGTTCAGGTTTTTCTAGAAAGAGAAATTAAAATTAATTGGCAATCTGTGGACTATTTGTGTAGCAAGCATTTCTTATTTATGTGTTTGCAAGTGATCCTCCGTTTATATGGGAAGCATGCCCTCTAAGTCACTTGCAGGTTGGAACACAGAAAGCATATTGCCATAGAAACACATTATAAACAAGGTCAGGTTCATTCTCAGGGCAACCTGTAAGAAGGTACAAAAGTACTAGCCTTCTTGAGGCCACGTGGCATAAGAAGAAGAAGCTAGACTACGACAAAGAGGAGAATAAAAAGGATTTTTCTTTCTCTGCCAAAGGTAGAGTCATTCCTTAGGAATACTTTAAAGCAGATGACATTTGTCTTTGATATTTTACAAGCTCCCCTTTATACCTTTCTGCCTCCTTCTAGTTCCTTTCTTGCAAGATCAGAAGTGATTTGTGCTGGACATTATTTTATTGTTGAAAATTGAACCTAGACCCACCCTATGCCAGAAAGTACCGCATTTTGTATTTTCATTTTCCTGGATCTCTTATTCTTTCCAGGTCCAGTTAGAACTCCCACTGATGAACCTCAGTTAACTCTAGGACGTGACAAGTGGGATCAAATGTGTAACTGATATCTCTCTTAGTCCTCTGAAAAATACTTGGAGTAAAAACAATAAGAGATCTCCCTCTTTCATCAAAAGTGGGATTTCAAATGAAGCCATTATTGGTAAGATACATTGAATGGAGTTGAGAATATTTGGAAATATTTGGATCATTGCCAAGTGTTAGTTCTTTCTAATCACCCTGGGTTAGTCCTCCTGAGCTGTTACTGAGGTTCATCTGTCCTTTATTCTCTCACTCCTGAATTTGGAGATTCTAAACGTACCACTATGTTTCCCCAACATCATGCACCAGCAGTGAAGTATGTGGGAAGATGTGGAACCTATCTGGTCATAAGACTAAACTGGATATTTGTAAATTAGGGTTTGATAGCACTTAAGAATACACTTTCATGAACTCAATTTGCTTAAATGTTAATATTAAACAAGCATGCAAAATAAAATTGAAAGGTTGATATTCAACTTCTTCAACTGTCATAAAAGCAGCACTACAGAAGTATAAGGATTACAGTAACAATAATCGTATAAAATACATATTCAAAACACATGCAACAGGTTCCAGGATGTGAATATGTTCTATTAGGCTACACACATTTGCATATTATCTCCTGAAACCACTTATATGGTCTCCTATTGATCTCACCAAATTCATCTTTAGACCACGTCAATCCTTTTTTGAAATGGGATCCATAATATTTTTGACCAACAGCCAATCATGCTTTCACTGAAGTTGTTTCATAAATACACCACATTCAAGGACCAACATCAAAATTTGGAGGCAGTTTTGGACTTATTCACTACCTGTATGACAAGAGGCTATTACCTTTCTGAGCCCAAACTCTCTGCCACTGTAATCTCTCTATCGTTCCTGAGCAGTAAAATGAATGATCGTTTAAGTTCACACTCCTAAGAAAAGTTCATGATTTTAATAAACAAATGGTAATATGGTTATAGTCTCATGGATTTTGAGACTACAGTCTACCTACAGTATAATTAATTCTACTTAAAGTAAACAAATCAAAAGCAATAAGTGGTTCATAACACTGATAATTATATATCAGTTATTTTCCTTTATTATTCACTATGTGTGTTTGAGAGATTGCCTGTTTAATTTTTTAGTGCTATTTTATAACTTGTAAGGAATTGCTCTTTTAGTATTAGTAATGGTGATACAACTTTCAGAGATTTCTTCTGGATTATTATAGCAAAGTATTAGTAATGAAAGGCAAAGATGTCAACTCAAAGCTATAGCAAAACCTTATTTTGTCATCTATATAGTTAATTTAGACTTAGGCAACACTAAAATTAACAATTAAAGAAAAAAGCAAATTGTTAAAGACAAAATAGCCAAGCAATATTTTTCAGATTTTAGTCTTTTCATCTCTTACTTGCTGGTTTGAGCTTGACTGTAAAAAGTGGAGAAAAGTAAATGGCATATTGATGAGTGGAAACCATTGAAAAGAAATAATTCTTAAGAATCTGTGTTTGTTTCTTTTAATTTTAGGTTTTCTTCTTATATTAAGCTATTCCATTCTCTCTAAACACTATCATTCCACTGGCAGCAAATATATCAATCGTATCATTTGCTGAAAAATTATGACACAGGAAATGGATGTGAAATTTAAAGCAATCTATATATTTGGCACACAAATTCAGGGAGCTAGCTTCTTGATAATCCCTAAATACCCATATAACTAAATGAAATACTCAGGGGGTCACATTAATACCTTAGGGTGCACATTAGAGGAACGTTAGCTGAAATTATGAGCTTTGACAATGGCTGTAATAGAGTTCAGAGGACATATGAAGTGCTGTGTAAATGGCCTTATAAGGTTTCTTTCTTTCTCATGTGTTAATACTCTATAATTATATAAATAATTAGTTCTTTCCTGAATTCTATTATATTTTCCACTGAGAAACTGTATTTAAATCCTGATTATCATTATTATCTCAGTTAAAATGAAGAAATTACTTCACAGACTTTTTCCTTTGAAATGATGTTTTAGTAAGAAATGGGACTCTATTAACTTCCAGTTGGCCAGGTGGGTAGAATTTCCATGTTGGAATTCAATGGAAAAGATTCAATGGTTTAGGATGTCAGGTGAGATGAAGACTCTTATTCATCTCTCTAGGAAAGAACTTCAGGACGGGAGAAGTGTGTGCATTCCTTTTTTCTCCCCACATGAAACACTGGCAGATGAACTGTTTTAATATTATACGTTCTGGGTTGTTCAACCAGTTCAGTGTCCAACTCTTGGTTTCAGCTCAGGTCATGATTTCACAGTTTCATGAGCTTGAGCCCTGCATCAGACTCAGTACTGGAACTGTGGAGCCTGCTTGGGATTTTCTCTCTCTCCCTCTCTCTGCCCCTCCCTGCTCGAGTGCTGTCTCTGTCTCTTTCAAAATAAATAGATAAACTTAAAAATAAGCTAAAGTTAAAATAAAATAAGATTAAACACCTAATAGTATATAATAATCAATGTATTACTTGGATTACCTTATAAGTTATATGCAAGCTTAGATCAAGTACACTTAAAAATTAAAGTGTATATCTTTATAGTTTATATTTGTCTAGTTTTCCACTGTTAATTCATTGAGTATATATTTTAGTTACTCATAAGAATTCACAATCTTAGAATTTATGGCACTAAAATTCTATACACTTCAGTGAAGACGAGTGTGTGTGTGTGTGTGTGTGTGTGTGTGTGTATCCATGTAACAAAGCTGATACACAGAAGAAAAATATGAAATATTTTACTTACCTGTTTTTTCTATTGTGGTAGCTTTTACCTGCTTGACGACTTTTTCTTCTGTGACAGGAAAAAATGTTAACACAAGTAGGAAAGTTAAATGCATTAGTATAAAACAGTGACATAAGTCAACTTTAATATTTTGTATTCTCTTTGAAACAACACCAATACTGAGAAAAACTTAGCGTTTTGTTTTGTTTTGTTTTTCAAATAAAGCAGCAAGCTATATCTTTAATTCAAATTGGATGGAACACAAAGAAAAAGTGTCCAGCTGCAGACATCCTTTGCAGCTTTTTGCCATTAAAGTTTTCCTAATTGGAATTGTCCCCTAACCTGCCAATACACACTCTATTCCTTGCCTTCACTGTATTTCACTTTATTCATCTATGCAGGGGTTGTTTTATAAAACACATATCTTTTTTTTAAATAATTGAATTAGAACAGGAAGAAGCGATTTTTTTATTTTTCTTGTGCAAAATACCTCCCTGGGAATCCAGGATTAGCCTACGGACCCAAGGTTGTTTTTTGTTTTTGTTTTTGTTTTTGTTTTTTTATGGTGCACAGCTGGAGAAGGGCAAAGTGGTACATTTCTAGGATATCTTCTGTCCTCTATGTTTTTAAAGACATGATCAAAGAGATTTGGGTCGGTGTAGAGAGATTATTACAATGATCCTATGTAAAATGAAACTTTTCAATGATTCAGCAGTGGGAATGAATCAATTAGAAAGTTTCCCTGGGAAGCAGAATTTAGAATACGAATATTATCACTAAAATACAAGAAAGGTGTGACAGTGTGCATGCTGTACACTCTCTGTATTTCAGCTCAAAATGACTGACATTTGGTACAGTCAAGAAAATAACAGGGTTTTATTATTCATTAAATGAGGAGGTTCTAAGGTTCTGTTATGTCAATATAGATAGTGATTCTTGACTCTTCACACGACAGCTCTGCTTTTTCTATTCCTATAGCTTCTTTTGTTGGTGTGTCATGTACTTTAAAGCATCGGCCGGTGAAAGCAAATGGACTCAAACCCACTGTACACAGTTTTCCTAAAGTAAAAAATTTAGAAGTATAAGCAAAATGTTTCTTAAGGTATGCTTAGAGAAAGTATGCTTTTATCTTATTAAAGATTCTGGCCTAATCACATTTACAACTTTGGGTAAACAATTCAGCCTGGAATCAAAGACACTAACTAAGGTTTGGGACTGGTTCAAAATTAAACTTATACTTGATTAGAGTAAATGAAAACTTCAAAGTTTTTAGTCTTAAATAAAACACAATTAATACATTTAAGTTCTGTATCTCTCTTCATGAGCAGAACACACTGCCTTAATTTTACCTTCTCCAACATATAAGACCAGGGATGGAATTTAAAAAAAAAAGGAGCTGAGACAAAGATGGAGAAAGAAAAGAAGAAGAAAGGAAAGAGGAAGAAATGTTGATTTCCTTTTCTTGGAATTTTTGGAATCTAAGATGATCATTTTCAATGAGCCATTCTGAATTGTAAGTTTCCCAAGGCTGCCTTGCCCCATGAAGAACAGAACAAAACAAAAAATGGAGCCCATTCACCTCAGTGCTGAAGGTGATGATCTTCTTACTCAGCTAAGTATCTGATGGGATAGACTAACAGTCTAGTTACACCTGACAGGTCAAGTCCTCAGTTCCAAAAATATTATGAAGATGACTAAAATTGGAGATGTTATAGAAGTTGGATGACTTAAGACTTGAATCATCCCTAAAAACTTTAGATTCGACATTAAGCTTTTCATCCTGCTGGTACCGGAACACAGAGCGACACTTTGATACTATAGATAGCACCTGCAAGATACCTGCTTTACCATGAGAAACAGTCTTTCCCGGTTTTGCTCTGTCCTGTTCTGAAAATAATAAAAAGAAAATCTTTTCAGCTGTTTAGAAGCTTTATAAATTAACATACGGTGATTTTTTTCCTCTGTTCCATGGGCCAGTGATTTGTTAAGCAGAAAATAACAGACACATTTCAAAAAATGTGTCCACAGAGAAAAACTGTTTCTAAATTTTCATGTAACTTTAGTTTAAATGAAAACTTAATGGTTTTGATTGCATGAAAACGATATACCAAGAATTCTTATTTACTTTAAGTACTTATAGTTTCCAAAAGATAGGTTGTAATAAAGCATAAATACTAAAGCATAGATAACAAATATATATTCCTGGAAATATCTGAAATTTTCTTGTCAAAATTCTATGTAAACATTATAGATAAAATTAATACATGTACTATATTTGAGTTTTTTCAGATGAAGTTCAAAAGGAAACCTTTATATATATACAATTAAATTCCTTGCAAAATTATGTTATTTACAATAATAAGTAAAAATTTGAAATGACAGTAGGTCTAACTAGAAGTTTTCAATAGTATTGGGCTTCTGGTTTTAAAAAAAAGGAAAATGCAAAATATTTCCATCTGCTAACATTCATCTGCAGCAAAAAAAAAAAAAATACTGTCAGGAAAATAAATCGTAAGACAGTACTTAGGCATTAATAAGCTTTGATACATTAAAAATATATTATTTATAAGAGAAACTAGGATCAAGTTTCTGATCAGTTACTAGATAAGCTTTGGTGAGAATTAAAGGGGTAAGATAGTATCATATGCACATTTAAACTTGAATTCTTGAAGTTCCTGACATTGAGGAATATTGCTACGTAATTTTTTTATAGTGAAGAAATAGCTTCCATGGAGCCTGAGGGTTTTTTTTAACTTGCCTCAGGTCAGTGGCTAGTTGGTACCGGAGCTAGGACTTAAAACACTATTTAGCAAGGTAAACTTGGAAAGGTCACCCTGGTTTTAGGTCAGTGTTACTTCCTAATAAAATAATCATTAGTCTGGGACAATTTCTTAGTGAGTGCACCCAAAGTTTTGAGTAAATCCAACATGGGCAGAATCTTAGCTCCCACATTTATTAGCTTGAAAATCTTGGAAAAAAATTATTTTCTCAATATAATCTATTGAACTGTTTCCACACACATTAAATATGAATAATAATTGTCATGTTACAAGTCTCTCACAATGATATAATGAAAATAAAAATCCTAAGCTATTCCTTAGCTCATTAGCACATAACAGATGTTTAATAAATTCTTGTCATTTTTCTCTTCAAATCCCAGTAGTCTATGATCCTGTGATTTTATTATTGTTATGTCATTGGAAATAAGCCTACAAATTAAATATGATAACACTAGAGTTGAAGGACCCCCAAAAATGTCTCCTGAAACCTAAAGTACCTGCTGTGGTTCATTTAAGGCCATATTCTAGGTGTTCTTGCCTACAGGATGTCCCCATTCTCAGCTAATCCAATGATATAAAACCATACTGAGCAACAGAGTAAGAAAAACAGTGAGGCTCTGGGACACTAAGTCTCCATTGGTGGGTGGTAAGCCTCTTTCAGTTCTATGATGAAGGCAATATCAGCTCTGTATCTATTTAAAAATAAAAATATTTGTTACCTGGTTTTGTTTCCTTTTTAACTTGTGACTCTAAAGGGAAGGAAAAAGGCAGAAATTTTTAAATCTGAGAAAATGAACTAGAGCACAAATTCACTTTTAGAAATCATTTTTATTCCGTCAACCATAATTAAAAAGGCAGAATTTTACTAAAAATTATTTCAATTTCCTGCTGGTTTTTTAGTGCTAGACATATTTTTTAAGTTTATTTATTTATTTTGAGAGAGAGAGAGCGAGTGTGTAGGTGGGAGCAGGAGAAGGGCAGAAAGAGAAGGAGAGAGAGAGAATCCCAAGCAGAATTCACACTGTCAGTGCAGAGCCTGACACAGGGCTCGACTCCACCAACCAGGAGATCTAATGACCTGAGCAGAAATCAAGAGTCAGATGCTTAACAGAGTGATTCACTCAGGAGCCCCAGGGCTGAACTATAAAAGACACAGTAGTTAATATCATGCCATGTACTTACCTGTCATTAAGTTGTTGCTACCGCTGATTGATTTCAATTAGAAAAATCTGTTTTCTCAAGATGATTATTGTAGAGTATAATTTCCATGTCAGTATAAGATGAATGATTTGATGGCAGGAATAGGAAGAGCATCTTTGAAATATATCTAATTGAGTTCTTATATGATTTAGAAATTTAGAAAAATAGGGTATGGTTTGAATTGTGTCCCACAAAAAGATATGTTAAAGTCTTAACCTGCAATACATCAGAATGTGACCTTATTTGGAAATAGGATTGTTGCAGATATGATTAGTTAAGGTAAGATGAGGTCATACTCGAGCAGGGTGGGTTCTTAATCCAATCTGACTGGTATCCTTACAAGGAGAGAAAAAGAGACACGGAAAGAGACACATAGGGAGATGTAGGCTATGTAATGGTGGAGGCAGAGATGAAAGTGATAGATCTATAAACCAAGGGATCAGGATGGCTCCCAACATCATATGCTTGAAGAAACAAGGAAAGATTCTCTTCTACATGTTTCAAAGGGAGCATGGCTTTGCTGACATCATGATTTTGGACTTCAAGCTTCTCAAACTGTGAGAGAGTAAATTTTTCTTGTTTTAAGCTACCCAGTTTGTGATACTTTATTCCAGTTACCCAGGGAAACCAATAGTGTTTGGTACCAGGATATGGGATGCTGCTATAACAAATATATATAAATGTGAAAGTGGCTTTGGAACATGGGATGGATGTTACATATGTTTGCCTGGTGCTGGTGAGAAGAGGCTGGAAGATTCTGAGACACCTGATTAAAAAAAAAAGCCTAGATTGCCTTGAAAGGTTTATTGGCAGAAATACAGACATCAGAATCTATTCTGCTGAGGACTTAGAATTGGCAAGACCTATGAAGAAAGCATCTAATAATTTAGAAAACATATATACCATTATCAAATACATATATCAACAAAATGCTGCTAGAAATAGGAATGTTGAATGTGCTTCTGGTGAGGTCTGGGAAGGAAATGAGGAACATGTAATTGAATACTGCAAGGTGATCTTTGATATAAAGTGGCAGACAACTTGGCTAAATTGTGTTCCTCAGATGGGGTACGTGAAAACGTGCCCCATGGGGTTACTAAAGTTGAAACTAGCAGAAGGTTTAAAGCTTATTTTTCAGGGAACTGTTTCCTTCTAGTTAGATATTATGTCTTTTCCAACTCCACTAAAAAATCCACTAGCTGTCTCCACAGAGGCATGGACTCAAGGTCCGCTTATATGATTCCAACCTATGAACAAGCTGGCTCTGAATTTCTTACCTGAGAAAATAAGCCTAAGACCCCATGCAGGTTATACCAGCTCTCAGAGAGTGTCCATAGCTCCTTCTTCTTGTCCTAAGATAAACTCCTGATGTCAGGGGATGAATTTTGCTTTGTTTTGGTGTTAAGTCTCCACCCCAAAGTGAATATGGGATGGATGTTATGTATATGTTTGCCTGCTGCATATGCTCCAGCTTTCCTCATGAATAATCATAAATTCTCCACCCCTTTCATTAATATGTATGTAATCTCCTACCCTGAATCTCCCTTTTAAAAACCCCACTCCTTAACTGGGAAACTGGGAGATGGTTTTTGGACATCAATTCAAGGTTGAATGTAGCAACCTTTCCTTTCCAACAAAAGGAAATACTCTTTGGAGTATTGGCTTTTCAGTGGCAAACAGCCGAACTTGGGTTTCAGTAACAGAAGGTAGAATTTCTAAGTGAAGAAAGTGGTTTAGCTGAAGAAATTTACAATTAAAGTGTGGAAGTTGCAACCTGATTTCTCCTTGCTGCATATACTAAAGGTGAGAGAAAAGACAAATTGAGGAGTGAATTGTTAAGCAAAAAGAACCAGCATTTGATGTTTTGGAAAATTCTCAACCTATCGAGATAGGGTGTCCTGGATACAGAGCAAAAAGAGTGACCAGACAAACTTGCAAGTCCAATCTACCCACCTCAGTAGAAGGTAGGAACAGAGATGTAGTTATTATGAGGAAAGATCCGTGTAGGACACTCTTTGTCCAGTGGCATGGACCTCATCAACTGAATGCAGAACTGGTCATGTTTGTGAGAATTCTAGGCAAGTAAAAAAGATTGGCCTGGGCTGGAATGGACAGAGAGCAAATACCAACTCTAAGAGAAGAGCCATGGATTAAAAGTCCTGGGCTGATGGGGAGAGAGAGCAGGGCTGCCACCTGGGGGCTCTGTGGAAAGACAGAACCAGCACCCAGGCAGGCCTAGAGGACCCACTATTCAGCCAACGAGAATATTCTTGGATCCTGACATCTGATGGAATTTTCCTCTATGTTTTTTTTTTAATTTATTTGGGACCCATAATTCTGTCTTTTCCTTTTGGTTTTTTCCCTTTTGAAATGGGAATTTCTATCTTAGCCTGTTCCACTATTTTATTTTGGAAGCAGATAATTTGTTTCTTGTTTTTGCAGATGGAGAGAAATTTTCTGCGAGAAGAATCATACCCTGGGTTTCATCCATACATGCTTAAGATAATGAGATTTGGGGCTTTGAATTGATGAAATGTTGGACTTAGCTGTAACTAAAATGATTGTGACTTTTTAAAAAATAGTTTATTTATTTTTGAGACAGAGAGAGACAGGGCACAAGTGGGGAAGGGGTAGAGAGAGAAAAGGAGACACAGAATCCAAAGCAGGCTCCAGGCTCTGAGCTGTCAGCATAGAGCTTGATGTGGAGCTCAAACCCACGAACTGTGTGATCATGACCTGAGCCAAAGTTGGACGCTTAACCGACTCAGCCACCCAGGCACCTCTGGTTGTGACTTTTAAGGATGTTGGAATAAGGTGTATGTATTTTGCTACATGTGAAGGACATGTATTTGGGGGGGGGGGTCAGAAGATTGGCCTTTATGGGTTGAATTGTGCTCCCCCTATGAAAGATAGGCTGAAGTCCCAACACCCAGTACCTCAAAATGTGACCTTACTTGGAAATAAGATCTTTACAGGTGTAATTAGTGAAGATTTAGTTCTATGGGAGTAGAGTGGGTCCTTAATCTAATACGTCTGGTGTCTTACAAAAAGAGGATAAAAAACAGAGATAAAGACACAAAGGAAGAAGATGTCCATGGGATGACACAAGCTGAGGTTGGAATAATGCAACTGCAAGCCAAGGAACACCAAGGATTGCTGGCAAACACCAGAAGCCAGAGAAGCAAGGAAAGGTCTTTTCCCTCTGGGTTCAAGGGAAACATGGCCCTGCTGACACCCTGATTTCAGACTTCTACCTTCCAGAACTGTGAGAAAATAAATTTCTGCTGTACTAAGATACCTAGTTTGTGGTATTTTATTACAGCAGCCCTATAACACTAATAGTTGGCAAACATGAACCAAAGTTTTAACTGTTTTGAGAATCAGATTGCTGTGTATTCTTTCTAAAAAGTTTCTGCTGCTTACTCTAACCCTCAGAAATTTTCAGCAGCCCCAGAAGAACGAAGGGAGCTGTTTTTCTGGTGGGATGTCTGTGCTGTATAGTAATCAGCAAAAATAGGGGTTTTGCAAGACTCAGCTCAATAATTTGTTTCTTCTGTTGGTGGGAATGCAAACTGGTATAGCCACTCTACAGTGTGGAGTTTCCTCAAAAAATTAAAAATATAATTACCTTATGATCTAGCAATTGTACTACTAAGAATTTGTGCATATAGTTTTATAGCAACACTATCAACAGCCAAATTATGAAAGAGCCCAAATGTCCATCAACTGATGAATGGAAAGAAGATGAGGTGTGTGTGTGTGTATATATATATATACAATGGATAGTGTATGGAATACTACTTGGAGATAAAAAAGAATGAAATCCTGCCATTTGCAACCATGTGGATGAAACTGGGAGGGGGGTATTATGCTAAGCAAAATAAATCAGTCAGAGAAAGATATCACATGATTTCACTCATATGTGGAATTTGAGAAACTTAACAGGTGACCAGAGGGGAAAGGAAGCAAAAATAAGATAAAAACAGAGAGAGAGGCAAACCATAAGAGACTCTTAACTACAGAGGACAAACTGAGGTTTGATGAGGGTGAGGGGTTAGGAAGGTGGGGAAAATTGGTGATGGGCATTGAGGAGGGCATTTGTTGGGATGAGCACTGTGAATTGTGAGAATCTACTCCTGAAGCCAATATACTACACTGCATGTTAGCTAACTTGAGAATAAATAAATAAAGTAATTAATTAAACAAACCACATCAATTTCTGAGCAGTTTCTCCATTGTAAGTACATCCTTTTCTAGGAACAGGTGGAATAGAAAATACACATTTTTAAAGAGTTAATAAAGGGTAACATTTTTGTATAATATTTGCACCAGGAAACATTAGGAAAAAAGTAATATGCTAGTCATTATAAATATGAAATGCAAGTATGATTCTATACATAATCTATACATACCTGGTTTTTCTTCTTTTTTTACTTGTGGCTCTAAAAATATAGGTGAACATTAATAATGATGATTATACAAAGATATTTATTTCCTGTACTCATGCATATTTTTAACACATTATTCATTGTTTTAATCTGTCATATTAATTTTCTTCTTTTTATAAATGCAACAAATTAATACAAACAGACAAAGAAGTTTCCTCATTATCAATCACAACATGAATTATTTTGAGATAGAATGAAAATGTGAACTAAGATTTTTGTGAGAACTTAACAAAAGGTATTGTTTTGTACCTTCAGTGAACAAAGGATTAAAGAAAATTTTAGTATAGCATATTCTCAGAAACACAAAGGATATTAAAATACAAAGGATATTAGAAATACAAGGATACTAAGCACATTGTCTACACAAAGTAGTTAAGCCTTTGACTTTAAGCAAAATACTCAACTATGAAATCAGAAGATAAGTAAAAGCATACGTTTAAGATTTGTTTTATTTATTTATTTTTTGGCATGCACTTGACATACGTGAAGGCTTAGGCTTGACTTCTTTGCCTAAAAAAAGTTTAAAAATTATTAAAGACCAAGTCATTCAATTGTTATTGAATTGACATCAAATGTGATAGAATATTGCATATTTGAAAATCAAAATAATACTATAAACTCCAACTATTGTTCTTTATTTAAATTCTACAGGATAAGTAATTTACTGTCCACACAAAATCACTAATTGAAAAAATCATTTTTAAATTTCATTGTACCATTAAAAATAGTTTTCTCACAAACTCTTGTGTTCAGTGTTAACTTTTTATTCTAATATTAAGATAGAGCACATAATTTTATTTTGAAAAATTACTTTTTTAACCCTTTATTGTTGAAAATAAAAAATATAAGACTTTTTTCATTTTCATTAATACTATTAATGCTAACTGTCACAGTATAATACATTAAAAATGATTGCTATAAAATTTGTAACTCCAAATGACTAGAAATATATTATAGGCTTTTATTGCATGTTGGATTCCTAGTATGAGTTGACAAGTTTTCTACGAAAGATTAGATAATATATATTTTTGGCTTTGGACCATATGATCTCTGCACAACTCTACTGCTCTGCTGTTGTGACACAGAAATAGTCATAAACAATATGTAAATGAATAGGCATGGCTGTATTCTAATAAAATTTTATTTACAGAAAAGACTGGTGATCAATCTGTAGATCATTGTTCATCAACCTCTGCCTTATTGATAGTCAATTTCAATTTTCTTTATTTTTTTCTATCTCAACAAAGTTTTTGACAGTAAACAAAAACCCTTTCCTCTGATTCTGTATTCCCTTACGAATGTTATCCGGTACCTTTTTAACATCTGTTCAACTCAGCTTCCTAGGAATGTCACCTTTAGTTGTTTTTTATACTTCTTGACTCCTGCTTAATCATAAATTCACTAAAATATAGCTTTTATTCCCACCATTTTGTTTCTCAGGTCTCTCCAGTCACCACTGCCCCCCAACTTGCCAATACCAATGGATATAATTAACTATATTGATCACCTTTTCCTGTGTAAATTCCTATTCACTTGAGTTCTGATTAGTCCACTTAAAACTACAGAAAACAGGCAAAATACATAAAACACTGGCTTTAAAGATTGAACATAGACAACGAAGGACAGTGATTTTTAAATGATGGGAAATATATGAAGTGTGTCCTATGACTGTCTCAGCTTAATGCCTTAAGTGAATTATAAGGCCTTAATGCAGAATGGAACTGAACTGAGGAGATGGAGCTGGGGGTCGGGAAAGACCAAGACAGCTAGAGATCACAGGTGAGAATCATGTAAAGTAGAGAGCTGCAGAGAGAAGAAGAAAGAGAGAAAAGAGATAAAGCAAGTTCTAGGGATTTGTGGAAGGCCCCTTAAACCACCAAATGCACAGGAGTAAAGTACTTGAGGTCAGGGCAAGAAACAATGGAAACAATACCTTAGTTCTCTATAGTAAGCATTATAGTTGGGTAGTGTCAGTCTTCCAAGTTTGATCCTGTACTTCAATATCATGTTGGCTACTGTGAGTCTTTTTCCATTCCGTATAAATTTTAGAATCACTTTGTCAACATTCACAAAATAACTTGCTGGGATTTTGATTGAAACTGCACTGAATTTATAGATCAAGATGGGAGCAACTAACATCTTAATATTGACTCTTCTACTTCCCAAGCATGCAATGTCTCACCATTTATGCAGAGACTTTGATTTTTTAATTTTTTTTCATCAGAGTTTTGTTCCCTTCAATTTTTATTTGACTAACTTTTACACAGGGCTCAGCTCAGCTATCTTTTCTTCAGAAAGTTTTATCTGAGGTGGTTGAACTGTGTTTCCCCTTTATGTACCAATATTATCATTTAGATCTTTTGATCATGTTACTCACAACCTACTGTAAATATAACTTGAATAAATACCTTTCCTTTTAGACTGAGATATCTGAAAACAGATCATGCTCATCCATCTTTGAATCCAGGGAACTGGTGCAATACCTAATATATGATTACATATGTTTGTTCATTAGGTAAATAAATGGAACAATGAGAACAGGAGAAGGTAAATAAATGGAGAAGTGAGTTGAGAAAAATGAAAATAGGAAAATATATGAATTCAGGAATTACATTAGCACACAAAATGCGTGTTAAAGTTACTACTTATTTCTTTGCACTTGGTGTGACAATTCACTTCTCAGCATTCTAGTATTCAGGCAAAAATCAAAAGTGCAATCAATGATAAAATTCACAATATTTTAAAGTATAAACAAATAGTTTTTAAAGAGAATTCCTGGTATAGCAATTCCTTGTATTATTACCTGAGATAAATTTATTTCATGTGTTTTCAGAGGAATAAAAGCTATAATACAGTCTAATGTAGTACATAATATTTAAAAAAAAAAACCTACCCTAAATATGTAATAGTTTTCAGAGGGTTCTACCCTCTGCTCTCACCATGGACCAATTACACTACACTAAACACAGTCCAATAAGAGACATGCATAGAGAGGAAGATAACGTGAAGACATATAGGGAGAATACCATGTGATGACAGAGGCAAAGATTTGAATGATGTTTTTACAAGCCGAGGAACACCAAGTTTTGCTGGAAACTCCAAAAGGTAAGGGGAAATGTAAGGAAGAGATTCTCCTCTTAACCTTCAAAGAGAACATGGATCTGCCAACACTTGATTTTGGACTTCTCTCTCTAGAATCCTTTTTTGTTATGTTAAGCCACCCAGTTTGTGGTGCTTGTTACCACAGTCCTAGGCAACAGATACACTATGCCAGTACTTTAGTCCAGTCCACCACTGCTTCTCTCCATAATTACCAAGAACAAACAAATTGGTTGTTCAAAGCCAAAACACAGGCTTTCTCCCCTCACACTTACTTAACTTTTGTAGCCAGAGCGATGTTCTAGAATGCATGTGTGGTCATTTCACATATCATATCTCAGTCTAGAGCATGTACCGTCTCTGTGAACTCCAACTGCTTTTGCCTGGCTGGTGGGGTTAGTGATGAATCTAATTGTTGCATCTCTCATTACCCTTTTCTCTCTCTTCACCATTTTGCATGCTCTATTCAAGGCACACTGAAGTACCGTATTTCTAAACACCAAGTTAAGGTCTCTTTAGTCTCTGGACTCTCTTATATGTTGATCTCTTTATTTAGAATATCCTTCTTCTTTTTTAGTTTGGCTAAATCTCATTTTCCTTCATATATTATCCAAAAAATAAGCTGGTCTAGATAGCTTTCCCTTAATCCCTCAGACTGAGTTGGGTTGGGTGTACCTTTAATATTCCAATAGTATTTCTCGCTGTCTCTCTCTCTATATATCTATATAGATAGATAGATTGATCGATCGATTGATAGATAGATAGTAGTGCTTCCAAAGCTTAGCATGGTTCTTGATATATAGGACTTTATCAATAAATGTATGTTGACTAAATTAAATAAATACCTACTATGCAAATAATCTATACCAGCAGTTGGATAAAACTTGGGACTGGAAGTTTCTCACCAGAAGCCTGCTGGGGTATGTGCCTCAGTATAAGGCTGTGAGACCACTGCTGCAGCCAGGTTAGAGGCTGACATAAGGAAGGACCATTATTCTGCTCCAAATGGGTAAATTAGCTAAGGGAAAAAAGTTGTCCCTAGCAATGGTACCATGAACTTGAAAGAAAAGTAAATGAATATAACCAAATGTTCAGTCCATAAAGTCCTAATGAATAGAATTGCTAACTTTAAGTCACACCTCATTTGACATTCACTTCAAGATTAACTTGTTACTTTTAAGTGATTGAGGTCATTGCAGTAAAGGGTATTTACTGTAATCCTATTAAATATTGAATGGGATTTGAATAATAAACCTTAAATCATTCCTGCAACAACTAGGTAGCAGTTCCAATTGCTCCTGAGATCAAACTCTAGTTCATGACCCTAGAACTGTGAAATTCTTCAGCAGTCACATACGTTTTCTATGTTTTCCACAATGAGGAACAAATATGCCTTGTTTAACCTATATCAATTCTTTAAGATACAGGATAAAACCACAAAGAACCAAATGAAGAAAAACACAAATAACAAAAACAAAGGAAAGAGACCAATACACATCCCTATGTTATGCGACTGGTTATTGTATTTTCTGATGTATCTAATTATTATTTGATATGCTAATAAGTTATTACTGACACAGTAAAATCATTATCTAATATATCTATAAATTACTTGTACAGATTTTTCACTCTCAAGGAAATATTAAAGTTCATGTTTTATATATGTATCAATAGCCAAAGGTCTACATTGAACATAGATCTAAATAACTTTGTATAATAACATTCTGGCCCAGAAACTGTTAACATGAGTGATGTCAATAAAGGCTTTTAAATAATCTGCTTCATAACAAATTCTCTCAAAATTGATTGTTTAACTTTGATCAATAATGGAATAATTTCATTCAATGGCCTTTCATTTTTTAAATTTATTTATTTTTGAGAGACAGAAAGACAGCATAAGTGGGAGAGGAGCAGAGAGAGATGAAGACACAGAATCTGAAGCAGACTCCAGGCTCTGAGCTGTCAGCACAGAGCCCAACGCAGGGCTCGAACTTACCAACTGTGAGGTCATAACCTGAGCTGAAGTCAGATGCATAATCAACTGAGCCACCCAGGGAGCCCTCATTTAATGATCTTTCTGATTCACATGTCCATAAATAGCTTTAAGATATCTTAAATGTATATGTTAAATTACTATCTTAATTCACTAATGAAGTAGCTTTATCCATGCAATGTATTTATCTTAAACTTTCCAACCACCTCTACAATATGATAGATACACTCCAAAATGAATCAAGAGAGTCCTAAAGCCTACTCATTATGAGGTCACTTAAACTTTAAATTTTATTTTTTTAAGTTATTTATTTTGAGAAAGAGTGAGAGAGTGCTCAAGTGCACACACACACACACACACACACACACACACACAAACACACTCAAAAGTGGGGGAGGAGCAGAGACAGGGAGTGAAT